AAAACTGCCTTTCCTGGTGTTGGTTGAGTGTAGTACTCCCACACTGCACTTCTTACTCTTGTCTTCCTCTGTGCATCCATCTACAATAACGGTAATATAAAGAGAGAGAGTTAAAGGTGGGGCCACTGTATGCTTCATGATTAAGCCTATGAATACTGTACTACAGCTAAACAGCTTGGGTAAATGTAAGTATTTGGCTTCAATAATTTATATGTTAGAAATGTATGTGTAATAGCATAACCTCTCATAATTCCTCATTAATTATTTTCTGATGGCTAAAACATAACCTACAATAGTAGAGGTGACTATTCAATTCATCATCTAATGCACATCAATGGATTAACTTTAAAAAAAAAATGTATATAATAAGTGTAAATAATTTAATTGTCTTCATAGCTATATTGTAGAAGTTGTTAAAAACTTCTGATATACGGTTTTCTGAGAGCACACATCCAAAGCACACGTATAGAAAGCGGCTGTCACAGCATGTGAGTACTAAACTAAGTTCTTATTCACTTATATAATATTCATAAATATTCATTTATGTTAAAAACACACATGAGTTACAAAAAAACAGTCGAGGAAATACATCAACTTTGCGCTGTGGATCGCCGGATCGGCTTTCACCGTGGACAAAGCGTAGTCCAGCCCGGGGTCGTCATGTGGTTGCCGCAAGCCTGCCGGCTCGTGGAATCCGCCGGCCGCCGCTCACTCTAGCCAGCAGGGGGTTATGTGCGCGATGCAACGCGTAAAAAGACAGTATAAGTCATTATAATCCGTAATTATGTCCCCACTGGATGCAACAAATATGTCACCTTCAATGTGTGATATTAGATGGTTCTCTTACGTGTTTTATGTCTCACTACACATTATTTTCATTTGACTGAGAGCTTGACTTGGACATTTAAAAACTCTTAATTTTTTCTGAGCCATAGCCTCTATTCTTTATATTAAAAGCGAGGACTGCAATGGACACATGCCAATGGCTTTATTGTGTTTTTTTATCCTCGACAGTTTTTTAAAGTGTATGGGATACTTGTTATTTTGTACAGTTTGTAAACTTGTCAAATAAATTTAAATTTAAAGCTGTAGTCCGTAACTTTTTTTGGTTAAAAATGATCCGAAATCAATATTTGAGCAAGTACATAACCAGC